TATAAATACAGTCATCTCTGCAATTACGTATGTTTCATTAACGCGAATTTGCTCCAATGAGATCGATGAATCGGTAAAAGCTGTTTGTGAAATACAAACTTTTGCATATGCGAGTTTGCTTTTATGCATTTTCATTCCTGGCGCTTTAAACTTTCAAAAGACTAATTTAATCTCTGCAGAGATACCGGGGTTATTTTACTTCGCGATTTTCTATAGGTCGGCGTCTTACATGAATGCAACTATCGCATAACAGCAGAGATGACTGTACACATCAATCACATGAAAGAATCGCGGTCAATCGCGGGGACCAACGAATTGGCGATTGTGAGTGTATAAAATAATTTTTTTAAATTTCCTTTATTTTATTTACGTTATTTCAGAGCTTTAAATCTTATGTCATTATATTACTCGTCAATGTTTGGGTGCTGGGAATGCATGCCATTGACTTCCCATTGATTTACATTATAAAAGAGTTTCAATTTACGCCGGTTCATCCAGGAACACATCCCCGGCGTAAATCGAGGGCTACCTGTAGTTATGATCAACTACTTACATGCAATGAGACCCCTTTCATTCCGACACCATGAAGATTATTTCTTCGTTCATACAGCTTAGTTGTAGCCCATATAGTGCCATTATTAGATTCCCATGACCCATATGAGTGTGTCATTAAGGACATTCCCTCTGCAATCCTGTAAACTTCAGTCAAAAAAATTCTGTTCTCTTGAGGCTGTGCCACAAGAAACTTGCAGTCGAATGGTATGTTGATGTCATAAAAGAAATATTCTAGGGATGTGTTGCCATTTAAGAATAAAAGCCAGGCAGGTTGAGACATAGTGCGGCTCTGGGACAGTCTCTGGAAACATCAAACATGCTTTTGTTATGATGTGAAAACGCTTCAATATTTTAAATATTGATAAACAGAATAACCGCACTTAACATATTTGAACATAAATTGTCAATCGCAAACCGTCATAAGCAAGCAACACGCACACGTTTGGCCAGCTTCATGTAATCTGCATATAGTATTCAGGTAATAAGGAATTGGCCACACGCGCACTCATTCTGAAGGTAAAATAAAGCGTTTGTGGGACCACAATTGTAGATGACCTTATGTAGTTCTTTTCTTTATCTTCTGGTTGGCTTTCACAACCAGTGCACTGCCGGAGTCGTGTTGTCTACAGCAGTGGTATTCAACGTTTTTTGTTCGCGTACCCCCAGATATAATTTCTCTTCAACTTTGTACCCCCAAAGTTGTTGGTGTATAATTCAAGTTATACATAGTATATAATCTACATCTAAAATAAATTAAATAAATTAAATTACTGATTATTCAGTGTTTATCATAAAATAATATTTTTTTTTAAATTTCACGTACCCCTTAAGATATCTTCGCGTATCCCCGGGGGTACGCGTACCCCAGGTTGAATATCACTGGTCTACAGCACATTAGGCGTGAAATGAAAGGGCCATGATTTGTGGGCTCACTTTTTACGTTTTACCTCCAGACTTTAAAAGTGCACAAACTGAAAGTCGAACAAGAATGAATGTGTGTAGCCAGCTTAACTATCCTGTTCGTGGTTACGAAATGAGACACATGTCTCCATAATTCGTTGTCTTGGTATGACTGAGTAAAACAAGGATAGGATTGGTTTCTATTGAACCTCTGTTTATAAAGATACCATGAGTTCTCGTTGGGTTGTAGCATCCGATGTGAGTACAACGCCCAGTGGAGGGGTCTTATTGCGACACTGGAACTCGCTTATTTCATGGTTGTAACTTTGTATACGAACAGACAACACCTGGAAACCTCCTTCTAGGCCAGACAGGAACTTCTGCAGTTGCAGTAACACCCACATGCTCTGAAAGCTTCCATCTGCAGACAAAAAGGTACAAGACTGCAATAAATTCCCTAATGTTAAATTTGTTCAACGCCGGAACATTGACTACCTAGAACTCGGTGTATTAATTTCCGGTAGATAATCACTGCGTATATTTAATCCTCTCCTCCCACACTTTCCTCAGTGTTTGCTTCACATTCGGATGCATTTCGGAGACGGTGTTTTGGCAAATATCCCATCAACGTATAATAATTAACTCTTCGACTAGTACTCTCTACCTAATCCATGGGGGTATTACAACATAAGGGAGTATGTGTGTTGATACGCCCTTCTGGCATGATGAATCTGACAAAATCTGCGTATTCGGGTTGCAGATGGAGGTCTCCAGATACGTAAGATTACTGCGAAAATATTGAATAAGTAATAGCGGAGAGCCGACAAGGGGTGGTTTTCCAGCGTGGGTATTAGCAGGGGTTTAACAAGTCCCCAGCGTATTGCGGATTGTCGCACAGGACCTTGGACTTCGATGGGTTGTTTGGAACCTGTTACAGTTTCTTCATGTTCTCATTAACCCCACGGCAAAATAGTGGGTTGTCAAACTTCATAAACAAAGTTTATTTATGTATGTCGCTACTCCACGAAATTTCACATCATTTAGAACGTACAGAATTTCCTCTTTTGAGTGTAATTTAAGCACAGAAAAGTACAGCAATCCCTGTCCTCTAATTTTAGGTCTACTGTGGTACCTGTGCCTTGTTATTTCTTCAGTAATTTATAGTGTCACGGTGTAGCTAGCTGTGGAATATTACTAAGTAGAATCAGCTGTTATAGCAAGAGAAAGATTGTTTCTGAAGTCAATTTTTCTTCATTATTCCAAGTATTTAGAATATAATAATTCAATCTCAAGAAACCACGGTGGTCTAGCGGTTAGAACGCTGGCCATACTATAATCTTGGGATCTCGAGTTCGATTCCCGGCGGTGCCCGAATTTATAACTTGTGTTGGGCAAGGCCGTGATCTAGGCAACACGGAGTTTTCCTCCGGGGGCTTCCCCGGTTTCTCCGTGGCATCCCAACAATTACTCCATTCACACACAGAAGAAGGCAATGGCAAACCACTTCTGGATCATCTGCCAAGAACGTATATGAACAGGTCCCAGTCCGAGAAAAGGATGGAAGGATCCTGTTCATATGGACCTGTCGTCAGACAGAACACTAAATAAAATAATCCAATCTCGAGAGTCATTCCGGAAAGTGTGTATTTCTTCCGAATGAGAATTCGGCCAACAGTTTCGAGATTACGGTATAATAAGCATGTTGTTAAAATGGCTCTGAGTCGGAAAAACTGATTTCTCGTCATGCAGTTTTACCCAGAGTAAACGCCGCGTTTGTCAAATACGTAGTATATCCAGTAGTTTAAAACACTGATCTTATGATTTCTCTCTGCTGCTAATAGCTACATTTGTTAAAATTATTAATAAAACGCGGTTCTCCAAAATATACGCAAGTATTTAACATAACAGTATTTTAATTGTAAGCAGTTCCAAATTGTCATTGTTTAGAGAAGATAAAAGCATTACAATTTCTACACCTGAAATACGGATTCTCCGCATGCAAATTAATTCTTTGACCTGTACATTACTAACACTAATATAACAAACACCTGAATCCGTCATTTGGAACCACATGAGTCCACAAAACTCGCTTTCAAAGAAGGGATATGAAGAAATAGAAAACTTGCTAGCAAACGCACTATTTTATTTTTGATTTATTTGTCCTGAAAAATAATTGGCAGTATATACTTTATTCATATAGTTATAGTTAACTACCCTCTTTTATACTTAGAGCTACAAGATAAATTTATTTTTGAACTCATGTTGTTTACAAGAAGGTTATCCACATAATACTGAAGGAACACTGTACGACTCTTGTGGTCACGTGTCTTTTTTCATTGTTGGGATGACCTATTTAGTTCACTGTGTTTTTCGTTATGGTCAAAACCTACACCAAAACCTGGTATTAAAATAAAATAAGCCAGGACTCATGTTTTGACTTTAATCACAAGGCTGCTTACGCACAGAAAAGACATGTCATTTCTATAAAATCGTGGATTCGTGTGTTTTTGCAAATGACTGATGCAGTTGTCTTTATCTATTTAAAATGTTGCTACGTGTTTACCTATATAGACATTCGTAGGCGAATACAAAAGAATGATGCATTTAGAGTGATAATATTTGAAAACGAGAGCCACAATCCCTGTATAATCAACAACAGTGTATCCGTTCAACACATTCACTTCCAGTAATATCAGAAATGCTCCTGGTAGCACGAAGAGTACGTGTAACCTCATTACATGCACACCTTGAGATCCTCGATTCGAAACTGACTGCTCGACCTGCATATCGACACAGTTCCGAAAAGTGCTAAATGTTTTATTTGCGTTTCTGCTGACGTATAATTAACGTTGCGCACCATGTACACACACACAGCAACCGCACGCAAGAAACACAACACTTGAATTAGTTTCTTTAAGCGGCATAGTCGGTGTCGAGGCGGTCTGCACGCACTTCCAGCTTGAAATAGGCTGTTGTGGTTGTTGCTTAATGGTGTCGTTTGAACTTATAAATGCAGAATTTAACGATAAATACCGCACATACCTTTATCGGACAGAAATTACGTATTAAACGCCCGAACTATCGAGGTTCGTCTGGAATTTAATTCGGGGATTTGACTATAAATGGTACTACAGTAGCACCGAGAAAATATTGAAACTGTGCTCAAAAACTGCATTAAAAAGTATATATTGTTTTGCTATATTTTAATAGTAAGCCTTCTCTTTCTTTCCTTCTAAAACGAGTTATAGACTCTAAAGCTAAATAAACTATATATGTAATTTAAAGTGTACAGTACTTACATCTTAACACTAAAGTGTTGATTTACTGAAAGCACTTGTTTCAATCCTGCTGTAATAACATGTCAGCACGTACTTGCCAGAACCTTTGTTTATACAGAATCAGAGCTCGGAAACCGATGAAGACTTTTAAATAGTAATGGCGAAGATTACACTGCCGAAGTACCTGAAACCCTACGAATTCCTGATCGCTGCATTACGTGAATGAGTGGCCATGAGTGAAAAAACTAAATCTTCTGCCAACCTTTCGAGAACGATCTGTTTCTATCAGCTAGCGCGCAACATAGGAAAGGACTGGTTACATAGCAACCCCGAGGATGAGAACAGAGATGGTTCTCGAAACGTTGGCAGAAGATTTGGTTTGTTCAACGTTTAGCCATTTGATGCGGAGAGTATTTCAACAGTTACATATATTGGATAGGAGGGTGTTTGCTTCTGCTGTGGGAATCGAACACCGGTCATCCAACTCTTAGCCGGTTATTTGACCGTGCTACTCCGATTCACGAAATTAATAACACACGAAACACCTTGCAAGAATGTGCACAAAACAGAAAAAAAAATACGTGCATTCATTCGTGTGACAATTATCCGCAAGCTATTTTAATTACCTCCTCGCAATTTATGAAGCCCGAAAGTTCTGTGTTCATTAATCTGTTCCCAAGACTCCACCACTGGACCCAGTAACAAGCCACATGAATACAGTCCACATCTTCACATCCTATTTCTTTAGGAACCACTGTGACATTATCCCCACATACGCCACTGTATCCCAAGTGGTCTCTTCCCTTTACGTTTCCCGACTAAAATTTGTACACATTTCTCATACCCCATAAGTGCTATTTCATCCTCCTCGATTCTATCACCCCATTAACATTTTACACAGAATAAAAGGTACGAAACTCCTCATTATGTACTTTGCTGCCCCTTCCTTCATCTTAGGTCCAAACAGACTTCATTTCCTCAGCTCTTTATTTTCATACACCCTCAATCTATGCTTTCCCGCACGGCAAGAGGGCCAAGTTTCATAGGAGATAAAAAATTACTTTTCTTTTTATCTTTACGTTTTCAAATAAAAGATTGTAGCAAGTTTTCCCGAAATTTAATCTGCTCTTAACTTCCTTATGAACGAAATACTGATTTGATACTATTGTTCTCAAATACAGGACTCTGACACATTTTGAAGGATTTGTTAGTTACCTTTACATTACGAATCTATCCTATATTCTGATGACGAGACATGAACACAGTAAGTGGTAGGTTCCATAGTCGGATATTTTGTAAAATTCATTACTGTGACAATTACTGGTCGAAATTACGTAACATAAACATAAAACACAACGCTAAAAACAAACATTCATTTTGAAAATGCAGAATCTGCAACTTTATTTCTGATGCTACGCCACTGACAATATCAGATATGTAGTTAGACGTTTTAAATGTGGCTACGTTTTAACACATCCATTAGCACTAACTACATATAGGCTGTTTTCGTGACCGCCCTTCTCGCACGAATAGTAGTTACAATCTATAGTTCTAAAGTGTTGTTTAAAGGAAGGGTGACCGCCATACGAAAGTTGACTCCCAAAACCAGTCCAGTAGTGGTATGAACTATTCAACTGAAACAGTTTATGAGTAGTTTAATCATGAAGGACTACTTAACCAGTATTATGTACAGTGGGAGACAGTACGATCCTCCAAAATGTCTGTACACATCTACAAGTCCACATTGCGCCACAATCCTAAGACCGCCATAGACATAATAGTGTATCAAACTATCTAATTGAGTTGCATCACCTATTCATGTCTTTACTACTGTAAATCAAACATGGTTTTATCTGCGGCTAGTTTATTTCGCGTAAAAAGAAACATGTTCGTTTTTCTACAAAATAACTTAAGAACAACGGTGTACAGATCTAAAACTTCTTGACGATGGATAATATCCAAGGAATTTTTTATTCAAAAGGTGTACAGGTTTTTCAATCAAAGCGAGAAAGCATCTAAAGAAAATATTTATATTTGTAGGCAAATATCGTTATTTCCAAACGTCTTCTCATTTGGGATATCAATGACCTCAGCGATAACAGTTACTAATAGAATTTCTCAACGTTAACTTTTCCACTTGAAATCAGGATAAATCAATTCACGTGACTTCGGTAATCAACTTATATTCAGAGCACCTAAAACGACTGGTTAGTTAGCACATTAAGGGGAAACACATAGGGACATTAAGCACAAAGTTAATCAATTCTACAGCAAAATTTGATTATCGACTGCGATGTCATATTTATACCTTGCGTCTGGCAATGCACGACACGAGCGAAGTGTTACTGAAACGACGTACGAGGTGCGATCGAAAGGTTTCAAGACTGCGCCTATAAAAACCCGTACACTTATCTCAGGTATTAAATTCATCCATCACCCTCGAAGTAGTTCCCCTGGGAGTGAACACAACGACCCCAGCGCCGCTGCCAAGCCTGGAAGCATCACTGGAAATCTTTCTTTTTCAGCCTGTCAAGCACCATCTGCGATTCTGCCTGAATCTCTTCTATCGTCTCAAACTTTGAGGGCGGTGTGCGCTGGCGCGTTGTCTTGATGCGTCGCATGTGGAGTTCTTCCTTTAGAATCAGCTGACAGGTCCCCTAGCCTATCCCAACAATGTCGCACAAGTCGTTGATGGTACGACGTCGATCTTCGTGAATGGCCTGCCGACTCTTCGTAACATTTTCGGGCGTTGTGCTCGAAGATGGTCGTCCAGAACGCTCGTCATCATCGACAGAGGTTCGGCCATTTTTAAAACGTGAATGCCACACAAAATTTTGTGCACGACCAATTGCGGACTCCCCAAATGCTTGCTTTAGCATTTCATAGGTTTCCGTAGCCGTTTTGGCGAGTCTTTGGCAAAATTTGATGCACACGCCATTACGAAATCGCAGGAGGGTCGGTGTAATGCACTACCAAAACGCCCGCAACTAAGAAACAAATGCTAATTCGATGATGCCGGCTGGCACACTGATTCACTATGAATGTAGGCCGCACCCCCTAGCGGCAGAAGCTCGTATTACATCCGGTTCGCCCTCTATTGACACAGTCTTGAAACTTTCCGATCGCACCTCGTACAATGCACGGCACGATAGTTCCCTGGTGGCAAAACAAGAAACATATCATTCATGTAGTTAAACGTCGATATATGGCTGACATGGGGTCGTAAAAAGAGAGATGAACCTAGATGATAACTGCGTTATCTTCTGCTAATATTACTGATGAAGATAATGAGGCACAGGGAACGCTGTGTGTACAACGGACACAAATACCTTCCAGATTATGACGTAGTGCGTCAAAAACGCCCATAAGTCAAAGGCCACAGCGCATAATGTATCAATGGAACGACCACTCTCCTTGCTACCGTTTGAGGAATTGTCCCCCTTCGATTACAACAAGCTTCCCAGGGCGGAAAAGTTGTGGAATTTGTCACGGGTTGGAAGCTGACTAATTCTAATAAAATATGTAATCAGTCGTATTGAAATTACAAATACTCGGCGAAGGCCCGCGGGCTATTAGAATTTTCTACATAAGTAACTGCAGGCTTCAGAACTACAATAAACTGAATGAGGGTATAACATCTTTGTCTTTTCATAGCGAATGTAGCTGACTGTTGCACCGTGCATTCTCATCTCGCAATACGTAATAACGTGTTCCAACAACATCCACATGAAGTTCCTACCAACTGGCATACTGAAGAGTTGAGAACCTCAATGGATACACCACACAGGAACCACGGAATTTTCCTGTGCCAATATCTTGTTTCGTTTTCGTATATAGGAGACTTTCATCCGACATCATGCTCTCGTTTTCATTGTAATAATATGCTTCAAATAAACATTGCTGATAAACAATTTGCCATAACTACAGAAAGTAATTAATAAAGTAAGCAAAAAGAGCCAAGCAGCAATTAGTTATGTAAACACTAGACGCGCGTACTTGGTGTATTAAATTGTATGATAAAACGTGCAACGAAAACACGCAAAACTTGCGTGTTATTGCATCATGAAAAAGTTACTGTCTGCTTATCAGCCATACATAAGCAGGGGACTGTCTCGAACAATTGTTTCTGCTACGTGTCTCCGATTAAAGTGCCATTCCTGTATGCAAGCCTTGACGCAAGAGACCGGAATATCAATAAATCAATTCGTCATCCCTTATCAAAAACAAGAGAGACAAGACATAGCACCACGTGATGCAAGGTTGTTTTATGGAATGGAGAAGAGCAACGTCACACCTTACTTCTTCACAAGACCAGTCGTACTTCGCTATTCTCCTACTAGCTTAATTTTGTTTATTATTAATGTACAAGGATTACATTAGCAATCTTACAAACCAAATTATTTCGGCGGAATGTTATCAGACCTCCCTACCTTCAATGGCCTCGACTGACTCAGGATAACTTCGGAGGACGTGAATTCCTATTCGAAAGTTGTTCTCTCCGAGTCCCTCTATACCTTTTGAATCACCCTGTATAATGACAACACTTTGCTGCAGAATTGATGTTTCCCCTTAGTGTGTTCGTTATAAGTGCAGCTGACAGGTTTTAGCGGGTCTTGCATCACGTCACAAAAACATGATGCCGTCACGATAAGAGTTATGAATCCATGCGGCAGGCTGTCACCTGAATTTGCCAAAGTCTGGTAAATAAATGTAAACAAACTAATTTTGTTTTACTGCTGACATGAACTGCAGATCACTATTTTCTTTGTTGTCACTTCTGGAGAGGCAATTATTTAGTGCGAAGATGGCACTACATATTTGTAAGGACATCCATCTACAGTTTGGGCTATAAGAAAACAAATGCATAGATAACATCACACCAAATATGTTCTTACCAGAAGTGCATTATGCACAGACTAACGATATTTTATGCCGACAGTAACCGCGCAACTTTCCGTTATTGTCTAGAAAACTTTTATTAAGAAACAACTGATGGTAGTCGACACCTTGCAAAAAGATCTCAGATAATAATCTGCCGCCTTACGTCATCATATTATTTAAAAATATATTAGGTATCAGGGTAACACGAGGAACAGGAAATTTTAATTTTTAGCAAATTTATAAAATTATTTTTGAATATTCCTTTGCACTTTCCTAATTCAAAAATGTAATGCTATAGTCTTCACAGCATTACACTGCTTCTGTAAATTTCAACTTCATGTGACACATGTCCAGAAATTGTTTATATTCTGATTATATGGTAATTCCCAATCTAGATAAATGAATTGTGCCTCTGTTCTGGTCTCAGACATTACCTTCTACCTAAGGAGTCAAATTATATCATCACGTACAAGCATTTAATTTTCATATTTATTTATATCTTCCAGTTATGCAAAATAAGATATGTGGTAACAAAATCACAGATTATTTTAAATTCTTATACGTAAACACTTTTTTTAAGTTACGGTGAAAGTCATGTTTATTTCCGAATTTTAGTTGTCATGAAGTTAAGGATGTTAAAAGTCCAGAACACAGCACGAAGCTTTTCAAACATTACTGTACTCTACAGCTAAGTGACGATAAAAGGATAGTTCAGCGGTAAAGATGCATTTATTTTATGTGTAAATGTCAGCATACGAACGACACATTCCAAAATTCACGAGCTTGAACAAAACAAGATTTGTTACCATCAGATGCTGCACGTACACTGAGCACAGCAAAATGCCTGCAGCATCAGATATGATTTAAACCATATGGAAAAATACCTTTCCGGACAAAACCGTGATGAACTTGGTGACAAAATTACAGACCAATCAGAGAAATGCAGTAGAAACACCTGCAGACCACAATCAGAAAAACAACAAAGGCTCAAACACTAGCTTGCTCTTCTTCAGTCACCTGGAACCCTAATTTGTGGACTAATGAACCTTGTCAATACTGCACAATACGCTAAAAATTAGGACTTCGTAACAAGAACGATAACTAACGGCAACCAGGAAAGATCACGTGATAATGCACGCCTTCGTGCATCCAACACCAATGCTATGTTATTATAAGAACACTGACAGACGTTGAAAACACCAACCTGTTCCCCTGCAATACTGACAACATTGAGCCTCTAAAGAAGACACCAAATGGGGTATCAATTCAGATTGAAAGATTACATGAGGCAGACTGAGAGAGAATGGTTTTATGAGCACACTGAATTTATTCATACCAATCGCAGTACATCTCAAAACTTGTGTTCTACAAGGTCACCAGTGCATGGTGACTCAATGACACACATTTCAATACTTATGTAATTCTGGCTGGGCCACACAGATCTGTGACAGTGCCCTACTGAAGCACAATGGTTCATTAAATTATAAGTTAAAACAATTCAGTAGTACGTGAAATATTAAATGAAATTTAAAACACACAATTACCTTGCTATCAAACAAGAAAGTACAAAGATCCAACTGAAATCAGTCTCATCACACCTCAGAAACATACAAATCAATGCATTCGCCTCCTTCTAAATCAAGATCCACTGGGGTTTCATTTGGATTTAATGATTCCCCATCAAATGAGAACTTCAACTTTTCTTCTGGTAGCTCCAAGTATTCTGCACATTTGAACATCAACACTCGCATTTTCTGGTTCTTCTTGATCCGCATTGATATTCGTTCCTTGTGACCCTTACGCTGAATTTTCAGTTCAATCTCATCCACACCGAGTGACAGTTTCTCCTGGGCTAAGGCACTCTTCATGTCTATACATGTTGTCACACCACCCTCTGGAATCACACAATATAAACTGGATTGTTTAAGAGCTACTAGAACAATTTCCATACCGTAGCACAGCTCTGCTTCTCCGCATCTGAACAAAGAATAATTTCTTCAGTGAAAGATGAAATTCAAATAAGAATAAAACTGCTTTAACTGAAATAATTCTCTTATTACATACTATCTGAACAAAATACAGAATGGGCATGTTGAATATGTATATCTGTTTGTCAGTATGACTTCTGAAACTATAGACAGGATTTTAATGAAATTTAGAAGAGGGGGACTTACACTAAAAATTTACAAGAAGCAAGTATTAAACCATTCACAAACTGTTATTTTGGGCTCCTCCCATTCTATGGGCCTACATGACTTCAGGGACTGGTGGTTGATTCTTCTTCTTTATTACACCGTCTCCTTTACAGGAGGTTGGCGACATATTATGAACAGGATCCTTCCATCCTTTTCTTGGACTGGAACCTGTTCATATATGTTTTTTAGGCAGGTGATACAGAAGTGGTTTGCCAATGCCTTCTTCTGTGTGTATGGAGTAATTGTAGGAATGCCACGGAGAAACCGGGGAAGCCCCGGAGGAAAACTCCGTGTTGCCTAGACCACAGCCTTGCCCAACACAAGTTATAAATTCGGGCACCACCGGGAATCGAACACGGGACCCCAGGATTACATGGCCAGCGTTCTAATCGCTAGATCACCGTGATTCATTGCCCTGATGACGGAGGCAGTATGACATCAGAAACGTTGGTTAACATCTACCAGACTACACAGCGCAACAACCCAGAAAACAGAAATCTTCATACTCACCGCTGTGAAAACCTCAAATCTTACAAATACATGGCTCTTTAAAAACGATAATTAAAATAATTGTTGAGATTAGCAGAAGTCAGTAACTGAAAAACCAAAGGATGTGTAGCACTGGCTCACATACATGCTCCCTGCCAGTCGTAACCTGTGAGCAAACAGCCATTACAACATTACAGACTTATAAGGAGGGCTGCAGTGCATACGGTTCTGCGGACTGTACATGAAACAAAGTCAAGCTGCTGAGACCTAACCTTGAATACTGGGCAGTGGAAATGAAGTTAGAGTTCTGATCAAAATCCACAAGAGAGCACCACCAAGACTGGGGAGATTCCTGCTAGCTGAGGAATCAAAGAAGTTTGATAATAGTAACAAAAATACTTCTAGAACAAGGGAGACCATCACATGGCAAAAGAAAGATGTGGTAAGATCAAGTTTAAATCTAAATGACCAGTGAAAATAATGTATGGATAAACAAAAATAAAGCAAAGAATTTAACAATTGGTCCAAATAATCTATTTTTAAATATGGCTGTCTTCTCTATCATGGTGGAGGCAGGAATCTCTTCTGAAACAATGGTCAATTACTACCAGATTTACAAGGCGCAACATTCCAGAAGACAGCTCTCTTCATACTTGTCACCATAAAAACCTTATATCTCACCTACACTATTTTCAATCACCAACTGAATAAACATAATATCAATTCAGTATATCGCTTTAAGAAGCTTGATATTATGTACAAATATCTAATAATATCATGTATATATTTGTTGATGCTGCTGTGCAAACAGGAAACAGTATTCCAGCAAGCCAATGTCTGCAACTTTGGGACTCAGGACCTTACAGTGTACACAGTCATCCATGTTTTCACTTAGTAAACTTTTGTTTTGATACATTTCCAAGATTTAACAGACTTTGGTCAAATGGCACTGCAATTCCAATTTAACCAAAATTAATAATTTTTATCGAACCCACGATATCTATCTTTTAAATTGGAATTTGGAATTGTCACTTATAGCAGATTTTAAAGATGAGAGATCACTAGCATTAGGTTCTAGAGAAGACAAGTACCGAGACACAATCAGGTACAAATTTGGAAGCATAAACTATATTTCCATTGAAGATTTCCATCTTCTGATGACAGAAGCAGTATGACCTCTGAAACGTTGGTTAACATCGACCAGACTACACAGCGCAACAACCCAGAAGACGGAAATCTTCATACTCACCGCTGTGAGAACCTCAAGTCTTATACATTTCCATTACCTATAATATTTGCAACAGTTAGCTTCAGCGAGTCTGGGGTGTCATTTGGATGAACCTGAACATCATTAAGAGTCAACAGTACCTGACTCTGAGGTACATTCTCCAATTGTGAATAGTGCTCAAACAGTGGTGCCAGTTTCTGAAACTGAAAACACAGAAATGTTACTGAAAATGTAAATCATACTCAGCAATAGTTTACAACAGATAAGTTTAACAAAGGAATGATAAATAATAAACTGAATAAACTTACCCTTCTAATAGTAAATTTATCAAATTTCACAAACTTCCACCAGACTTTGACCAACATCTCATAATTGTCATCATCTCCGGTTAAAGATATATTCACTTCAGTTTCTGAATCACTGCCGATTAAAATGTGGTCATCCTAAGAAAGAACAACAAACATAAAAACCTATAAATGAAGTGTCAGCATACAATAACACCTGTGGTACCATCAGAAAAATACTTTTCTTCAAAACAAATATGCAGTTCTGCCTCAGTTAATACAGATTTGCATATTTCTTTAAACATTTACATAAATACATTGGCACCAGCTACAATGCTATCAATGAGGACAACGCCATACAAGACTTGAAAGGTGTATTCTTTGGAGTGCAATGTTCTAAACGTGTTCTTCACGCCATAGCATGTAAGTCATTGTTGCAGTCATGTTATCACACACACAAATAAATACATAAATGAGACATTTGTTTCAATGTAGAATGACTTAGTTTAATAAGAATATATCAATAACTGCAGAAATAATTAGTGACGTAAAAATGTCTTGGAATTAACTCTGCAGTGAGTGTCTATTCAAGTAAGCTAAAATCCATGTATACAAATTTCATTGAAAGTTCAAAGAAGTCAAAACTGTCAGATCAAAGGAAGATAAAAGTCTGAAATCTAAAAGAACTGTATAAAATAAAATACAAAGAAATAATGTAAGTTCCCTAAAACAAAACTGACAATCCATATCACAAATTCAAAAGAAAATGTGTGGTAAGAAAACACAGAAGACTGGACTGACACTGCAAAAAGAGTTGTGATGAAGATCGCTGTCTTCTGGGCTGTTGTGCTGCGTAGTCTGGCAGAAGTTTACCAACGTTTCAGAGGTCCATCATCACGGCAATGAGTACTCATCTCCCTAATGATGGAGGCAGCATGGACCTCTGAAACACTGGTAAACTTCTTCTTGCTAGAAAGACTTCTGCTTAAAGGAAATATTCAAAACAGGGAAGATATGACCACAAATTCACCAACCCACTGATCGAGTGTTTCTTATAAGTGACCAATTCCTATGGTGCTCCCCGATTTAACTGTATGTCTCTCGTGTTATCCCTTCTTCTACTATGGCTCTCTGGTCCGTATTCGGTCCATGGCCTCCTCAATTCTCCTCTTCCATTCGGTCTTCTGTTAGGGCTATATGTCCGAGGCTTTGATCGAGGTTTCGAAACATCTTCCTTTTTACGGTGCAAGGTTGTTGGCTTTGCGACCAACCTCCAACCTGGAGGACCAGGGCACCTGTCTTAGTCTGACCTCTCTCCCTCGACCAATCTGGCTAGGGAGGCTCTACCAGTAGCTATGCTACCACCACTGAGGTACTCAAGCCCCACCACCACGACAAGGTGCAGGTACCATTAAGTGGGGCTCATGTTATCCCAGTAGTTACATTTTCATCTGGTCATAATCTCCCAAGGCAATAGTTTTAAAATGTGGAAGGCAAGACTGCAGTGAAACAATTTAGGCAACAATAAACCACACAGAACATAACTTAAGAAAGAACAAGCTTTGGCAGCAGCAAAAACAATAGCAACAACAAGAGTAATGATATTAGAAATGCTCTTACTGAAACCTTAGGTCTTTCTGGAGAATCAGTAATAATTATAGTTCCAATAATATGTTCCTGATTTGGTGGTATTTGTGGAGCACCTTTTCCAACTGCACGTTTTGTTGCTCTAGTCATTCCTCGTGTTGAACGTGCTCTTTGACAACTGAAATAAATTTAACAAGGTTGTCAGTTGCCTTATAAAACTAAATTATTAATTTATTTCTAAAACTTATACGACCAATCAGGAAGTGATATCTCCCATTTCTTTTCTCCTTGAATTGATGCTATATGCATGTGAATTATACTTGTGTGGAACTAAAACATTTTAATATTAGACAGTCTGAAGGTTTCTGATGATGATTTTATCATAAAATATTAAAACTATAGCATTTTGGAAGCTGGATTCTGCTTCTGTCTTCAGGTAAAATAGGGGGGAGGACATACAGCCTACCTGCAGGGCACCCTGAGGTTAGCCAACCTCAGTACTCTTATTGATGAAAATGATAACATGGGATTATGCAAGAAAAAGATGATGGTGCTGGATGCTTTTGAACATAATATGATCATAGTCTTCACAAATCCAGAAATTCTGGTTTAATCATGGAAAAAACTTTCTCTAGATCTAGAAAAAGATGGTTTGCAAGTCTCAAATTCTTGGCACAGTTTGTGCTATGAGATGTTTTGAAAACATCAATAAAGAAATGATGAAGAATGGCTGCAGAGTGACAGACACATTGTCAATGCTGCCATGAAACGCAAGGGACAAGAACAGGGAGGGGAGGATGAAAATGTCATCTATATTGCAGCGAGGAGGAGTCTAAATAGTTCACAAAAGCACAAGATTATTACAAACTATTTCTAAAAATAATGTCAGCTATGTAAAAAAATGTAAAGCAATTTTTGAAGTTCTGTGAATGTACCAAACAAAATATTTTGGATTATCCATGTTTTTAGATTATTCATGTGTTCTTCCTTTCATTAACCTGGAAAACTGTGAGTTTACTGAATGATATAACACAGCTAGGTGCCTTCCCTGCTTTCCCAAGTTTAGGGTGGCAAATGTATAAAGTATTCAACTGTGGATTATCCTCAAAATAAGCAACTCTTACTTTGGTTTTGCACAAGCTCAAGGAGTAATATTAAAGTTTCAATAATCAGAGGTAACTCACTGTATATTCTCAGGAACAAAGAAATATGTTATAAAAACATGTTTCAATTTTAAAGAAGTTATTACTGCACAAAGTTAGATTGTTTTCTAATAGTATGGAGAACAAATAGAGATACGCACACAAACACATATGGACAGCATCATATCACAAGCCTACCTTTCATTACAAAATAATGAAATTAGCTGAAAAAATTATACTTTTAATTATGCATACTCATTTAGTTCTTCCAAAGTTTCTGGCTGTTCATGTGTCACATTTTTATGTGATTCAGTATCAGTCAATTTAGTAGCTTTTCTTCTTCCTCTGGGATTCTTAGTTCCTCTTTTGCCCTTTGGTTTTAAATCATCTAGTTCGCATGTCTTTACGGATTGTATTTCTTCTGCTTCCTTCAAAAGAGCATCATAATCTAAATGAAGAGATTCCTTAATAGCTGAAAGGTACAGAAAAATGTGATCAGCTGTAACACTGATGTTCTCATGCCACCCAACTTAATATTAGTAACACACTCAAAACTACATAACTCACATTTTTACATGTGGGGGGGAGGGTTTATCTGAAACAGCTAAATTTATTATGCTACCGCAAGTTCCTTGCATGGCTCAGGTTGTCACTTTGCAGCTTATATGTTAAGCACTTGTTACAATCACAGGGTCCCAATTTGCAGGGTAATCTAATTTATTCAATGTGCATGGTTGCTGACAACAAATTATAGGAATGTGCAACAGACCTTTACTAGTCACATTGCAAGGGTGGCTGGATGCTTACATCCTCATATTTTATTCTGTTTCTATTCTAAAAATCATTAACCCAAAAGACTTAATGAAACTGGCACTTTCAGTATGATAAACCACCACAGACTCTGTACAGATTCCAGTATAAAGCCATCTAAAAGGCTTCATATACACAGTAATTTGGATTAGTAATTTATTTACATTGCATTTCATATAAGGAATATGAAAACCTGGCAGAAAAGAGCAATTAAGTTAATACAGCTTAAGAAGACACAACAAAGAAAACACCAAAAATTTTAAGATTAGCATTCAAATCTTGTTCAGGACAAAGTTTTCCCATATAACACACAAAAATTCCTTACATTTTCAGTTGAAATGGAGGTTTGGGTCATGTTCCAAGGAGGTTTCTAATCCCACAATACTCCTTCTGGATTAGGTTAAGTTTGAATTAGTTGGAATACATTAGGTCAGACTGGAACCATACTTGGTACTTTAATATTGCATCTGTAGTTAAGGAGCTGATGGCAGATTGACAAAATGTATATGGCAGTGATAAACATTTACCCACATTTCTTATCAATCCAATTACTACGGCAGATTGACAAAATGTATATGGCAGTAATAAACATTTACCCACATTTCTTAACAATCCAATTACTATCTATTCTGAAACACATAATGAATGGGAAGTAGAAAGTAAGTATTGTACTACTAATCAAAGGATGCAGCAAGTGCATGATAAAGTAAATTCCAGCTAACCTAGGCTAGTATACATAATTCTCGATAAACACAAGGAATATTAATCACTCTTTTCTACACTCATTCATCATATTTAACACCTTGAAACTATAAGAATATTCACCAAAATAAAATTGTGCACATAAAAATCAGCAAGCTACAAAGATCACTCCATTAAAGTTTGTGATTTTTCACACAGTTGTCACAGAACCACCAATACCTCCACAATCATAGTTATTTTCCTGACTTTATATAATAGTTTAAAATGTTTCTAAACAAAGTTTGAACTTCATTCAGATTTCGTAATTCTGACTGAATGACTAACCTTGGTTCTATCCCTAATTTACCTAAATTTAAAACATTCGACTATAATATACCTTTGTAATATGTTCCTGCTGTGGTGTACAAATCACAGCCATAATCAAAATCATTTTCGTCCTCCATACCGTATTCAATATTTGGGATTCAGCACATTTTTACAATCTTGACATGTTATCTTTTTTTCTGACACATAAACAAACATCTGTGGTGATCAACGAGGTGGAATTAGCACCACAGATGAAAGGAAGGATGTAGTACATTGAGTCCCCACTCAATTGCCGCTTAAAAGTCTCTGACGACGGGTGGCAGAAGTTACATTCTTGGTCAGAGAGAACAACTATTTCTCTCAGAAAGACAATGATGATAAAAAAGGGAAAGTTAAACCATTTGAAGGGAGATTCCTTTTCGCAACATTGTTTGGCGGGATGTTTGAATTTTAAATTACGTTTTACAATTTAAAACTAAACATATTTATTATATAGTATTGTATGTAGTAAAACAGTTGAGTTCAAACAAATTTAATTTTAACACTGGTGATGCTTTCAATAGACCTATTAGATTAATCTCCCGTGCACAGTTATCGTCTTAAAAGTTCTGGTAAATAAAAGACAATAAAACCTTATGAATGAATATGACTGCTTACTGGTCTGTTGCGCCGTGTAGTCCGGTAGAAGTTTACCAACATGTCAGAGGTTCTTGCTGCCTCTATAATCAAGTCTATGAGTAATATTTATCAGGTTTCAGGTAAGCTCAACCAGGGGCCCAATAAATAGGGTTTATGTATTCTTACGTTTTGTCTGAAGACGGAAGCAGAATCCAAATTTAGAAGATGGACAAAATAATTTCAGATTATAACGCAGAATTATCAGAAACCTTGAGACTTATGTATTTATGGACATTTTATTCAAACATCCTCTATGTTATACACCAAACTTCACATTTATACAAAAAAATATACCACTGGTTTTTGCCTAAAAGGTTACACGGTGTCATTGCGTCACAACCCAATCAACATCTGCACCCCTGATGAACTTAAAATCTTACTGCAGTCTTGTGAAATATAATGTTTAGGTTTTGCAGTATATTATAAAATGTATGCCAGTAATTACTCTCCAAATTTAATATTTAAATTACAGACAAGTGTCATATCACGAAAATGTCGGAAGAAGGTTATTGTCATGTTCTAACCAAAGATAATAGTGTAGGAAATACAATCCACATTATTTGTTATCTCGTAAACAAATGGCAATCACCGAGTGCTGTTAGTACCCATTATGAAAATAGAGTTAAAGATGAGGTCACAAATAAAATTCTGCAGGACAGTAATTCCCAGTGTTTTTCCGGGCCACCTGAAAATTTCCGAGGTTCTTGGAGGATCACTCGGTGATTTTTGTAGAGATTACAGTTTGGCACTCTTAATTCCGGGCGGTTTATTTGTCAAGTGATCTACGCTAAGCTGATTCGTTGTTTGTAGGAACGAGTAACATTTGTGGACTCCTTATAAAAATGCGAGACATTGCCAACTGAGATATTTTATGTGTTTCTTAGTCCTTCAAAAAAGATTCAGGATACCGCTTTCTTTCGCATTTCCCAGTTCACAGCCCATAATCGATTGACATTCGAAGATATCCTGTAACTGCCCTAGCTTACATAATGCAGTAAGAACATCATTATGATTTTACATAGTTTAAGCAAATATTTCAGGACCTTCATCTATAGTTATTATTATTTAGTGTTCTGTCTGACGACAGGTCCATATGAACAGGATCCTTCCATCCTTTTCTCGGACTGGGACCTGTTCATATACGTTCTTGGCAGATGATCCAGAAGTGGTTTGCCATTGCCTTCTTCTGTGTGTGAATGGAGTAATTGTTGGGATGCCACGGAGGAAAACTCCGTGTTGCCTAGACCACGGCCTTGCCCAACACAAGTTATAAATTCGGGCACCGCCGGGAATCGAATTCGAGACCCCAGGATTACAAGACCAGCGTTCTAACCGCTAGACCACCGTGGCTTCATCTATAGATTTGAGCTATAAATGTTATTTAAAAATTAGTTCTGTTGTTGCTAATTGACTCATATCAACTAATGGTGAAAAGTGAGATAAGGATCCAATCACACCTTCACGTGACGAACCTACTCAGTTTTTAACAAACAAGTCTTTGGATACCGAGTCATAACAGTATAACAGCATTGTATCTGTAGTTTAGGAAATTTCACTACCAAATTCAAAAAGATTCGAGTCACTTCGGAATAATTTAGAGACATTCCAGTCTTCAGGTGACTGGTTTTTGGTGGTCTAGGTGTCAACGGAGAGTACTAGCCTATCATTAAAGACGTCCCAGATTTAACTTTCACTAATCTAACACAATTAATCATCTGCCAACAAAATTACAATGTCACCTAGAGTACATCCAACTTACTAAACGTCGTTTATATGAAATAGGCTATATCTTAGACAATTAGAAATGCTAAATATAATACTAGAAAACTAACCGATTATTATCACAAACTTTTAGATAACATTAAAGGTGTGTGCAACGAGAATTTATTCTCTACTTTTAAAGAATCTGAATTTGAAGGCACAGAAATTTACCCAGTAGCTCTTACCACTAGGGCATTTACGTACGTCTTTTTCTGATGTATCGGATTGTCACTAACGTGGCATAATATACAAATGAATACAATGATTCCTAGAAATCACACGACGTATTTTCCTGACTAATTGTGTTCAAGGATTTTACAAATGACGCCCCAGCGAACACGCCTTACTTTAATCAAAAAGACATGCATTTTCTCAAGAAACGAGATCGTCTACGGGTTTGTTTTTCCTCTCACGATTTCTTTGGTCCATCACGCTGATAACAGAAGGCGCGGGCCCTCCAAGGTCAACTTGTGCTCTTAAATGAGTGACCTTGGCCTTGCAAAGATCACAGGCGCTTCGACGTAAATTTGCGAAGCTAATCGTTTCCTGTTATTCCAAAGACAAACAAGGACTTCTTTTAATTACGACGCAGAATTGAAGTACTTCTCCATAAACGAAGATATCAATAGCTCCTGTAACAGTGTATCATATATTTACAATAATAATTATATCCAGGGGCGGATATTGATTTTCAGAAGTAAAAAGACTTTCTATGTCAGAAGAAAATCCCGAAAATTATCAGCACATAATATAATTCGTTCCGATACGTGTTGGACACGGTCGTTGTGACGTTAGTGGCAATAGAAACAGATTCTTTAGGAAAACACTCTCAAACATGGCGCCTTTTCGTAGCTACAGGAAATATAACACTGAATAATGACGAAGATCTTGAGAAAAAAGTAATGAATTTTCGGTTTCTAAAAAATGAATGTGATTTCTTGACTAGCAGAGCGCACGATTAATTTCACAAGGACTCTACTACATCGGCTTGGTCATTCGTCGTGAGGTCGTGTAGACCATAAAATCTTCAGTTTCTTTCCCCTTAACAAAAACCTTTTATCGATCGTTTGAATCTGGGTTGCAATTGACCAAGACGACATGTGAAAGCCGTGGCCTGACGATGCAAAATATTACAGGTTCTCGTTCATGTAGTTTACAGGGCCAAACAAAAACAATAATACATCTGATAGCGAGTGTTTCTGTCTCTCTTCGGAAAAACGTTCTTAGACTTATTACTCGCTACGAGTAAAAGTAAGAAACTTTATGTGTAAGAAGGCCGATTGCATTCACGCAATGTAATTAAAACGACATTATTTAAGTAGAGGGTGATTAAGCAATGAATGTGTTCTGCTATGGAGCCGGTAGCAATGGGTGGAGTCTTAATTAACTGAAATCGTTAAGTATTTCAGTCACAAAAATCTATCTTAAATTATAATAATTGTAAATAAAGTATGGTCGCTTTTACGCAGGTCTAGTTATGTAGGATGAAATTGCAATTTTAATACCAATAATTATCAGTTCTTTTTTACTGTCAGGCAGTTGTTCCCCATATTTAAATATTACATTACGTACTCTTGAAGCTTATTACAGGCAGCTATATAGTATTTCCGAAATTAATATAACCATCGTCTCGCATAGTTAGGTTAAGATAGATTTTGATATCGGTAGGCGTGGTTTTGCGCTGGCCCCGAATCTCAACCTCGCGACTTTGACGTTGTCATACACAAAATTACAATAAATTCCATCCGTCCATTCTCATGTTAAGAAATTCGAACCCAATATTACACATTATATGGTGTTTGTTGGCAGTGTCAAACCTAGAAGCTGATTCGTAATGCATTTAGAATAGTTTTCTTTCCACTTATCTATTCCTTTCCCTATAAAATTGCTATGAATTAGACATCAGGTTATCACATGACGTGGGGTCTGTAGAAAGAGAAAGGAACCGTGGGAATTTACCTTCATGTGTTTGGTAATTGTTTCGTGGTGCTAATGACATAATTGCACTTGAGATGACTGAGGATAAGGACTTTTTAAACACGAATTAGTGAACGAATTCTGTTCGTGCAGATAAGAAGCAAATGTACAACCTGTGGCAGCTGTCGAAATGCACAGCTGTATCAGAAAATGAATCATCTGTACAGTTTACAACATTAAATTGGGTAAAAACGAGGTACGGCCTAAAACTGCAAAAAGAAACTTGAAAGAAGCAAGCCAAGGATTACAGTTCTATAATTCTTCCTCCTCCTTGGGGTTTCAACTTAACATTAATAAGCAGTGAAGGACTAGCAATTGTTAATTCGCATATTTTATAGGCGTGTATAATTTATTTGTAGATAATAAAGTAAGATGTAAATCGCGACCCGTGCAGAGAATCAATTTATTTCATTCGCATCTGAGAAACATGCACTGAGTAAGGAGCTGTTCTCCTGACGACATGTACAAGGGAACGCAGTCTCGTATTGCAGTCTGCTGTCCAAGGGACGCAGTGACAGTCGCTAATTGCGCATTACTGTGAACAAGATTGTTATTAGGACAGTGAAGAATGAAAAGGCAAGCAAAGAAAAACTAATGTTAAATTAGCATTCCATCTGCATATTACAAGTATTCATTTTGTATTAAATCAAAAATATTATAGTATTTAATAAATGTTTTTCATACATTGTCTAGATATTTTACACAATGCCAAGCATAAATCAGGCAAAATGCTAAACATGTGTTCGGTTATGAGAGATTTGAGGTTTTGGTGGCGGCGAGAATGATGATATTTAAGATGCCTGTCTTCTGGCTTGTAACGTCGTGTAATCTGGTAGAAGTTTCT